TGACCTCATGATCTGCCTGCCTTGGCCTCCCAAAGTGCTGAGATTACAGGTGTGAGCCACTATGCCTGGCCTTGTACCATATTTTCTTTATCTATTCATCTGTTAATGGACATGTAGGTTGCTTCCAAATCTTGACTATTGTGAACAGTGCTGCAACAAATATAGGAGTGCAGATAGCGCTTTAATATACTGATTTCCTTTCTTTTGGGTACACATCTAGCAGTGGTATTGCCGGGTCATTTGGTAATTGTATTTTTAGTTTCTTGAGGAACCTCCAGACTGTCCCCATAGTGGCTGTACTAATCTACATTCTCATCAACAGTGTACAGGGGTTCCCTTTTCTTCACACACTCACCAACATTTGTTATTGCCTGTCTTTTGCTTACAAGCTGTTTTAACTGGGAATAAGATGATATCTCATTGTAGTTTTGATTTGCATTTCTCTGATGATCAGTGATGGGATGTTGAGCACCTTTTCTTTTCTTTTCTTTTCTTTTCTTTTTTTTTTTGAGACAGAGTTTCGCTCTTTTTGCCCAGGCTGGAGTACGGTGGCATGATCTTGCTTACTGCAACCTCCACCTCCCAGGGTCAAGTGATTCTCCTGCCTCAGCCTCCTGAGTAGCTGGGATTACAAGTACACACCACCACACCCGGCTAATTTTTGTATTTTAGTGGAGGCGGGGTTTCACCATGTTGGCCAGACTGATCCACTTCAGGTGATCTACCCACCTCAGCCTCCCAAAGTGCTGAGATTAGAGGTGTGAGCCACTGCGCCCAGCTGAGCACCTTTTCATATGCCTGTTTGCCATTTGTATCTCTTCTTCTGAGAAATGTTTATTCAAATCTTTTGCCCATTTTTAAATTGTATTATTAGATTTTTTTCCTATAGCATTGTTTGAGTTCCTTATATATTCTGGTTATAAATCCCATCTCTGATGGGTAGTTTGCAAATATTTTCTTCTATTCTCTGGGTTGTCTCTTCACTTTGTTGATTGCTTTCTTTGTTGTGTGGAAGCTTTTAAACTTGATGTGATCCCATTTGTCCATTTTTGCTTTGGTTGCCTGTGCTTGAAGGGTATTACTCAAGAAATGTTTGCCCAGACCAATGTCCTGGAGAGTTCCCCTAATGTTTTCTTGTAGACATTTCATAGTTTGAGGTCTTAGATTTAAGTCTTTAATCCATTTTGATATGATTATTCTATATAGCGAGAGATAGGGATCTAGTTTTATTTTTCTGCATATGGCTATCCAGTTTTCCCAGCACCATTTATTGAAGAGACTGTCTTTTCCCCAGTGGATGTTCTTGGCACCTTTGTTAAAAATGAGTTCACAGTAGGTGTGTGGATTTGTTTCTGGGTTCTCTATTCTGTTCCATATGTCTATGTATCTGTTTTTATGCCAGTACCATGCTGTTTTGCTTACTATAGCTCTGTAGTGTAATTTGAAGTCAGTAATGTGATTCCTCCAGTTATGTTCTTTTTGCTTGGGATAGCTTTGACTATGCTGGGTCTTTTGTGGTTCCATATAAGTTTTAGGATTTTTTTTTCTATTTCTGTGAAGAATGCCATTGGTATTTTGATAGGAATTACATTGAATCTGCAGATTGCTTTGCACAGTATGGACATTTTAACAATATTGATTCTTTCAATCCATGGACATAGAATATGTTTCCTTTTTTGTGTGTCCTCTTCAATTCCTTTTATCAGTGTTTTTTTGTTTTCATTATAGATATCTTTCACTTCTTTGGTTAATTCCTAGGTATTTAATTTTATGTGTGGCTATTGTAAATGGGATTACTTTTATAAATTTCTTTTTAAGATTGCTCACTGTTGGCATGTAGAAATGCTACTGATTTCTGTGTGTTGAGTTTTTCTTTTTCTTTTTCTTTTTTTTGAGACAGGGTCTGGCTCTGTTGCCCAGGCTAGAGTGCAGTAGTGTGATCTTGACTCACTGGAACCTCTGCTTCCTGGGCTCAAGGCATCCTGCCACCTCAGCCTCCCTAGTAGCTGGGAACACAGGTGTGTGCCACCATGCCTGGCTAATTTTTTGCACTTTTTGTAGCGATGTTGTTTCGTCATGTTGCTCAGACTGATCTTGAATTCCTGAGCTCAAGTGATCCACCCACCTCGGCCTCCCAAAGTGCTGGGATTACAGGCATGAGCCACTACTTCTGGCTCTGTGTACATTTAGTATCCTGCAACTTTACTAAATTTGTTGATCAGTTCTTGTTTCTTTTTTTTTTCTTCTTCTTCTTTTTTTTTGAGACGGAGTCTTGCTCTGTTGCCATGCTGGAGTGCAGTGGTGTGATCTTGGCTCACTGCAACCTCCACCTCCTAGGTTCAAGTGATTCTCCTGCCTCAGCCTCCCGAGTAGCTGGGACTACAGGCACACACCACCACGCCCAGCTAATTTTTGTATTTTTAGTATAGACCGGGTTTTACCATGTTGGCCAGGATGGTCTCGACCTCTTGACCTCGTGATCCACCTACCTTGGCCTCCCAAAGTGCTGGGATTACAGGCGTGAGCCATCGCGCCCAGTGATCAGTTCTAATAGATATTTTTGTGTGTGTGCAGTTGTTAGATTTTTCCAAATATGAGATCATATCATCTGCAAACAAGGATAATTTCAGTTCTTCCTTTCAAATTTGGATGCCTTTTATTTCGTTCTCGTGTCTGATTGCCCTAGCTAGAACTTCCAGTACTAAGTTGAATAGTTGTGGTAAAAATGTGCATTTTTGTTGTGTTCCAGATCATGGAGAAAAGGCTTTTAGTTATTCCCCATTCAGTATGATACTAACTTTGGGTCTCTGCTAAGGTTTTAAGTGTGTATCTTTATAGTCTTTTTCTGTATAGAAAGTATAATTTTAATAAAAATAAGATCATGCTGAACATACTCCTATATAGCCCCTTAAAAGAAAAACAACTCAGTGGTAATATGCAGAGGTCCTAAATGTCTTGGCAGCTATGACTTGACACCTTTCTCTTTAGTCTTAATGCCACACATGTATAGAGCTTTTCACAGACAAGAAAATAGTTTTAAATACATTATTTTGTTATTTTGTGCCCCCACCATAACCCATCTACACTTCTACAAATAGTGAACTTACTTGCTTAACTGGTTTTCTTTACCAACTAAATCATGAATTTCTGAAGGGGGTGGGGAAAGCAACTATCAAATAACCTAAGTTTTATACCCACATAATTATATCTGTCAGAATGCCAAGTGCATATAAAGTACTCAGTACATATTTATAGAATGCACAAAAATATGCTTGTATAGTTTTGTTTTGTCATGACTGTAATTGTTCTGTTGGTAAATTTACACTACTGTCTCCATTGCAATTCTCATTTCAAGCTAGTTAAGATCACACAATAATTAAAATCACAAAAGAAAGAAAGAAACATTATCACCATCAGCATCATCATATGCTTCACCATTATAAACCCTTTAATGGTTCTGGACTTTAAGGTTCTGCCTATAGGTTCTGCCTGCTAGTTCTAGACGTGAATTTTAAGCACTGAAGTTTTACCCAAATTGGAACAGCTCAAAGATAAGAGGAAACTTCGTCAGATGTTCCAATATTTCAATAAGCCTGATATTTTTTGGTGAGCTGATTTAAAAAATTCAGGTAGCAGGCCAAATGTGTTCATTTTTACCTTGATACTTGCCATCATATAATCTCCACTTTCCTCTCTCTTCTTCCTCATTTCCATTTCCTCCTACACCCATTGCAGACCAGCGCCTGTCCTCACCACTTCACACAAGCTGCTCTTTGGTCAAGTCACTTCATCTGATTGCCAAATCTGCCAGTCTTTTTCTTCAGTCCTTGGCTTGTCACTTAACAGGGCTGACCACTTCTACTATCTTGAAACTCTTTGATCAGTGACTTCCGTAACCCCAACTTCTGGTTCCTCTTTACCTCTCCATTCATTGATTTATTCAGCAAAAAATTTAACCGAGTACTGGTGTTAGATATTACAGTAAAGGTATGCAATCATATTAATAAAGCTGGTATTAATTGAGTGTCTTACCAAGTGCTAGGCAATGATTCAAAAATTTAAACACTGTATATGTTTACATGTGTGAACTACTTTAATCTCACTAGAACAAGGGACAGCAAACCTTTTCTTTAAGGGCCAGATAGTAAATATTTTCAGCTGTACAGGCCATATGGTCTGTGTTGCAACCACTGAACCCAACCTTTGTAGCATGAATGTGGCCATAGATAATACATAAACTAAAGGGTGTGGCCATGTACCAATAAAACTTTATAAAACAAGTGACTAAGTTTGGTCAGGAGCTGTAGATTGCCAACTCCTGCACTAGAATCTATCTAAGTTCCACCAGGGCAGGAATTTTGGTCGGTTTCAATATAGAAAAATAAATGCTCAGTTAATATTTAATGAATAAAGGCTCTCTTTCTAAGATAGGAACTATTTGAATCCCCGTTTTATAAATAAGGCAGCCAAAGCACATGGTTAAGTAGCATGGCCAATGTGACCAACTGAATTGGCAAATCCAGGATCAAGACCCACATAGTTTGACATTAGGACTTGTATTCTTAATCACCGTACTGTACAGTGGTGACACAGAGAAGCTTGTCAGCTGTTCTCTTGGAAGTGGGAGTGGGAGCCAGGAGAGGTAATTTTAACTGGATCTTGAAGAATGAAGAATTCACCAGGAAGAAAAGTGAGGAGAGGGAGAGGCTTTGCATTCTAGCATGTGGAAACTGCAGGTATAAGAAATAGATGTCTGATACAACATGGTATTATGAGCAAACTGGCAATAAAGGAAAAACATTGCTTAGGGAATGCACTCAATTTTCAGCAATTCACATGTCTAGACACAGGGTTTGAGGTGGAGAGTGGCAGAGATGGGCTAAAGAAATATGCCGGGGGCCTTGTGTGACATGTGGATGAATTTGGATTTTAACTTGGTGGCAGATGGGCTACTGAAATGTTTTGAGCATGGGAAAGAATGACCATATTTGCATTTTAGGTCAATTTTTAAAATTACATTTTATTTTAAAATTAGATGATACATGCATATTGTACAGCCTTCAAAAGCTGAAAAGGTCTTCTTCCTGCTTGTTTCCACTACCCAGTTCCGTCTTCCAAAGGTGCCCACTGTTTCCAGTTAGAAAGATGACTTTCGGCCAGGTGCAGTGGCTCATGCCTGTAATCCCAGCACTTTGGGAGCCCAAGGTGGGTGATCACCTGAGGTCGGGAGTTCGAGACCAGCCTGATTAACATGGAGAAGCCCTGTCTCTACTAAAAACACAAAAAATTAGCTGGACGTGGTGGCACATACCTGTAATCCCAGCTACTCGGGAGGCTGAGGCAGGAGAATCACTTGAACCTGGGAGGCGGAGGTTGCAGTGACCCAAGATCATGCCACTGCACTCCAGCCTGGGCGACAGAGCAAGACTCCATCTCTAGGGAAAAAAAAAAAAAAAAAGAAAGAAAGATAACTTTCACTATAGTGTGAAGAATGGATCAGTCCTGGGGCCATACCAATCTCTTGACAGAAGGTCACAGCTCTCAGATGTCTCCAACTTCCAGTAATACCTCCCTCCTCACCACTTCCGGCCTTGAGATGGTATCTCAGTCACTAGCCTAGAGGGCTGTGCTATCCCTATGGTTCCCCTCCCCATGCAGTCTCACCTTCTAAATGGGGGTAATATTGCCTCTAAAGGGGTGAAAATTAGTTTGGGGGAGCAAAACAATCTTAGATATGAAAATGGTTTGTTGGCCTCCAAAGCTCAACCCCACTCACCAAAATTTTGTTAAGGGAAATTTAAATGTTTCTCTTTAGGATGAAATGAGACAATGACAAAATGTTGAGCAACACTGCCCTATACTTTTGTAAATAGTTCCTTGACTAGATCCTTTTCAAATGACTCAGGCTGAATGTGCACCTGTTTCCGCCCAGGTACCTAACTGATCCAGGAGATAATGGGATTCAGAGGCTTGGATGGAGGATGGTGATCCATGTGATCATAGAGAAAAGGCGATGTAACATCTTGGGAATAAGTGTGGACTGCTGGGATTAGATCCTGGCTCTGCCACTTACTATTGGCTGTGTGACTTTAACCCCTCGTTGCCTCTGCAAAGTGGGGGATAACAATGGTACCTGTCTCCTGGTTTTGCTCAGGATAGTGCTCAGTGTATGTTAGCTACTACTCAAAGACTCAGATGGTAGAGCATTAAAGGAGGAGGGAGTTTTGCAGGAGGTTGGAAGAGCTAAAGGTTTAGAAGTAGGATTGAGGAATGTGGAGAAGGCCAATACCACTTTCCATGCCCATGGGTTGTGGGGCATGGGAAAATGAGTAGCATCTTTTCCAGAATTCAGCAAGGGAATCATGTTCCTTAGGGATTACAGTCACTTTTCAGTTAAGGCAAGGAATGAGCCAGAGGTTAAAAGTGGAAAGAAGTTTCTATACAATTGAATGAAGGCAGGGCACAGAGGAAAGATCTGGGAAGGAAGAAGGTAGAAGGTGGAGAGGAAGCCCAGAGCAGGATAACAGATTGGAGATTAGGGTAAGGGAGAAGAGACCTCCGGAGGCAGGAGCACTGCACAAGATGGCTGAGGCTGAGCAGAGCAGGAGGTGGTGAACTATGACCGGATCTAGCCAGCTGCTTATTTTTGTATAACTCACAAACTAAGAACAATGTTTACATTTTAAATGGGTTTTTGAAAATGAATTTTAGAATATTTCATGATACATGAAAATGATATGAAGTTCAATGTCAGTGTCCATAAATTGAGCTTGTTTGTATCATAGCCATGCCCTCTCATTTACACATTGTCAATGGCTGCATTCCCTCTACAACAGCAGAAATGAGTAGTTGCAACAGAGATTGTGTGGCCCACACAGTGGAAACTGTTGGCCCTATTGAGCCCTTTTTAGAAGTTTGTTAGCCGGGCACAGTGGCTCATGCCACTTGTAATCCCAGCACTTTGGGAGGCTGGGATGGGCAGATTGCTTGAGCTCGGGAGTTTGGGACCAACCTGGGTAACATGGCAAAATCCCATCTCTAAAAAAAAAAAAGAAAAAAAAATTAGCCAGGCATATCAGTGTGCACCTGTAGTCCTAGCTACTCAGGAGGCTGAGGTGAGAGGATCGCTTGAGCCCAGGCGGTAGAGGTTGTAGTGAGCCTTGTGTTCGTACCATTGCATTCCACCTTGTCTCAAAAAAAAAAATAAAAAAAGAAATTTTGCTGGCCCCTGTTCTAGCACATCATTCATAGTCTGCAATACGAATGGCACCTCCAGGAGTTGTGCAACACAGATGACCTGGCTCTAGGAGCATTCAGTTTGGATAGTGATAAAGGATTACAGTGAGGAGAAGAATGGATGGAATTAAATGGCCTCAAGGCTCTTTTTGGAATGTTTGCACAAAGTTGTTTTGTTAGAACAAAGCAAGGCTGTCAGCCTGGATTCAAGCCACCACCTCTTGGCTGATGAGGAGCTAGGTGTGGTAGACACTTCCGGTTGCCCATGCAATTTTTGTTTCTCCTTTTGTTCCTTATTAACAGAAGGATGATTTTATCAAGGTAGCAATGTACCCTGTTAAAAATAATAATCTCAATAAGAAAAGTCCCCAAAGAATGATGGGGACATGTCAATAGGACACAGAGCCAGCTTAAAGGGGTTCCTAGTGGTTAATCTGGGACAATTCCATGTTAAAATAAATTATGATAGTAATGGGTTGTCACCCATCAAATAGAATAAAAATCTTTGAGTCCATACGGAAATAAATGAGTAAGTGGAGAAAGGAAAGCTTTCCGTATGGTACAAGGCAAACTAATACATATAGAAGGAAAGACAGAATTAGAAAATTACCATCTTATTGTTTCAGGCAAGACTTATCAATGGATGCTAAAACTAGTGGGTGAAGGTTTGATGAGAAACATGATATTTATATCATCTCAAAGCCTCTCCTCACAGATTCTTGTTAATTTCAAAGGGTAAAATAGGAACTTTATAGTAGAGAAATCTGACAGATACGACCTTACCACCTTAACCAAGTGATCAAAGCTAATATCATTAGTAATAGAACAAGTCAAAATAGGGTACCTTCTGCTATGATGCGTTGAGAAGGATGCAGCATCACTTCTGTGGTATTCTAGCCAAAAATACCTAACCTGAATCACGAGGAACTGTCAGACAAACCCAAATAAGGGATGTTCTGCAAAGTAACTGGCCTTTGGTTTTCAAAAATACCAACAACATGAAAGGCAAAAACATATTGAGGAACTGTTTCATATTAAAGTAGACTAAAGCAACATGACAACGAAATGCAATGTTTGCTCCTGGATTGGTTCCTGGACCAGAAAAAAAGCTTTTTCTTTGCTACAAAGGACATTAGTGGGACAATTGGCAAAAGCTGTAGATTAAATCATAGCATTATATCCATGTTAATATTCTGATTTGGATCATTGTACTGTGGTTATGTAAGAGAAAGTCTTTATTTTTAGGAAACACATACCAAACTAGAAGTAAATGAGCATCACGCATGCATGAGAGAGAGAGAAAAAAAAATGATAAAGTAATTGTGGTAAATGTTAGTATTGGGAAATTTTGGGTGAAAAAATACAGGAATTCTTTGTACTACTTTCGCAAATTTTGTCTGTTTGAAATCATTCCAAAGCAAAAAGTTTTCAAAATACTCATTTTCCCCAGGTACTCCTGCAGGGAGATATTCGTATTCCCAATCCTGTCCAATGGGTTGTAGTTTTTAGTCTAATGAATCGGGCTTATCAGAAAATCATTGTTTTTCCTCATAAAAGGGGAGAGACTTGGCAAATGCCTTTTGCCCTTTGTCCTTCCCCTTCCTGCTTGGAATAAGAGCTTGATACCTGGATGTGGAGCGATCATCTATGATTATGAGGACAGAAGGAGCTGGAAGTAGCACGGGTCTTGATGGCTTCTTTGGGCATCAGCCTTGGACTGCCTGCCTCTGGATAAGAAGTCTGTTAGTCCACTGTAGTCAGGTTTCTGTTATATATAGTCAAATCCAACTCCAACTGAGCTAGACTGTCTAAGGCTCCCAATGGTATTTACAGTTTTGAGTTTGTGTGGCTTGACTCCTCAATCTCCTTCACAGGCAGCTGCTTCTGGCTGCCCCTCACGTGTGGGTGTTCTGCAAGTTTGGGTCCTCGGCCTTCTCCTCCCTCTGTGGTCTACATGGGCTGCCTCATCCACTCCCACTTACATTTAGACTCTGATGATTCTAAATTACCATCTTCACTTAGGATTTTCTCCTGGTTTGCAGAATACGTATTCAGCTACCTAGTGGATGTCTATGCCTATGGTCCATATTCACTTCAACAGTTACAAAGCTAAATTGCCTTTCAGCTACACACACACACAATCACGCACACATCCAGCCCACAATGTAACCATTTTCCCAAGCCAGAAAGGCAGGAGTCATCATCCTCTCTTCTTCCTACTTTCTTACCCCCTACATGCAATTAGTCATCCAGATCTTGATGACTCTACCTCCTGAGTAGTTTCCAAATCCATCTCCTCTTCTCCATTCCCATCAGGTAGATCTGTCACTGGTATTTTTTATTAACGTTTTAAACAGTCTCCCTGTCTCTGTCCTTTGTTCCCCTAACAAACTGCCATCCATTATTTTCCAACATGCGAATATGATCACCATACTCTCCTATGTAAAAATTTCCTACCACTTCAACTGCTAATGGTAATTCCTGCCCCCCCGCCACTCCAATTCCTACTATGGCATAACAATGCTCATAGGATAACCTCTTGGCTGCCCTTCTGTGCCATTTCTCAGTGAAGGAAGGACTGTTGACTGCCCCTGGCTGGTTTATTGTATTCTCAGGAGGCAAATTCTCCCAAGTCTCCATAAACCAGTGATCTTCCTTTGGCCCCAACTGTCTCTTACCACAGCAAGCTGTACCTCACTTTATTCCAGGCCAAAAGACCTGCAGTGTTCTTTTACTTGTCACGAAAATAAATTTTATACATTGATCAAAACGAAGTGTTCAGGCCACTGTGTGTGATAAGTGACGGTTGAACACTGCCTGAATCCAACAGACACTATGCATACTACACTTGATCTTAACCAAAAGGCGAGAAGCGATAACAAATACCATTCATACGATGAAATTTTAATCAGTTTGTGGTAGCCCAGGTAGGCAAGCTCCAGGAATGTTTATAATGCGACCTGGGCCCACATTATTGGTCTCCTGTCTTGGCTGCTTTTGAGTTAAACAATCCTGGGCTCCTGGGACTGATTCCCACACTTCCTGAGGCAAGCTGCCGGGGTTAGGGTGGAATGTGTGATTAAGAATCTTTAGCCACAGAGCAGGAAACAAGGGT